ATCTGTACACATGTGTAATCAAATTTTTCACATGCGTTTTTTCAAACGACGTGAATCCGTAGACCCTCTTGCTGGTTTCCCGATGCAAGTAGTCAATGACGTGGAAGTGACAAAGAATCACAGTAGCATCTGGCAACTCCTCCGCTAGCACGTCGATTTCTGTGAAATCTTTGTCCACAATTACCACTTTGACATCTCTCCATGCCGTGTTGTTCTCCTTAAATGCTTGGAGCGCACACTTCATATTCAACTTGGTCTCTCCGTCGATCAAAGCCACGAACGACCCACTCCCAAACTTATCGGTAACCATAAAACTGAAGAGACGGTATTTGTCAGCATAGTAAAAAAAATTCATTGTTTGGTGATAATTACACCAAGCATTGGTAATCTTAACGCCAAAATTGAACTATAGGTAGATGCCATCGATCTCGCACCTGTTAATGTTAGTTCCATGGGTGGCGTCAATACATAGAGCCTCTGGAAACTTCCTGGCCATCCTCCTCATGTGCGCTGTCTGGAAGGTGATACAGCTTGTGAGAGTTGTTGCAGGATCCCGAAAAATTCTTACTGCGTTCCCCGGTCCCTCTCCAAAGTCCTGCAATAGCTCGGACACTCGAACGTTGTCATCAGATGACGTGTACGTCTCGCGACGCATCTCGGCAATCATGTTCTCGACATCCTTCGGTTGAAGCGGCTTGCCAGACACTTCTTTGAGGTATCGCAAGATTTTTTTGCGTTTCGAACCACCTACCAAACTTTAACAGTTAGAACATATCTCAGCAAAATGATTATTAGTAGCAGATAGTTTTACCTTGCCACATTGTCTTGGCAACACGCTTGATTCCTGGTGATTCGATTTTGCGTGTCTCCGCATAGCAGGTGTACTCATCAGGGCCCACGCTGTGATTATGACTCGACTGGTGCTTCGAGATGCGAACAGTGTAGACGCCTTCGTCGCGGTTCAGCACGGCATTCAATCGCGCTTTGCAACCAATTCCACGGACAGTGTGGTTTGTACGATCACCTCTGCCCCGCGGCTTGAAGTTCCACCCACGGACGCATGACGAACGAGAATTCGACCACTACTTGCAAGGAATTCAAGCGCTTTGCAAAGATAAACCTGCGTTCTACGACTACCTGACGTCGAATTGGTTGAACTGCAAGTCTTTGTGGTGTTCATTTCTACGTGGGAAAATCCCGCACTTGAATAACAACACAAACAACCGGCTGGAAGCCAGTTGGGGTGCAGCCAAGGACATCCTTACACGTCACATGGCCATGGATGAATGCATAGACCACCTTCTCTTCCTACAACAAACTGCTGAAGACACGTACCGGTACAAGTCCAAACGCGTTGGATTCCGCTATAACAAGCACTACGATGAGGATTTACAGACTTTAGCAAGGATTGCTACGCACCACGCCTGCAACCTAATTGAGAAGCAGTACAGGGCCAGCATGAAAGCTGATTACGAAGTTGATTCAGAAAAGGCATCACCTGCTCTTGTCACATTAGCAAGTAAGACGTCTTCCAGTCAATATGCGGTAAGTGAATATTTTTCCTCCTTAATATTTATACTGATGTGACACTGTATATTGTTGTTATGCTTAGGTGAGTTTGGAGGATAGCACCTGCAGTTGCATGTTCCACCAAACACTTCTTCTTCCATGCAGACACATCATGTACTTGCGTCGTGAAGACGACTCTTTTCGGTATGCAATTCCATTTGACGCCATTCCAGAGCGATGGGCAAAAAGTGAAGACTGTAGTGGAAGCGATGATCCTGGAAGTTTTTCGACAGATGGTGTGAGAAGTGTTGATGTTGACGTTGGCCATCACAAGCGGGCATTGAGTCATAACGAGAAATATCGGGCGATCCTCCCGATTTGCCAGCGAATCGCTGAGTGCGTCGCAGATAAAGGGAAAAGGGACTTTCGCACGCGGAGCGAGCACTTAACAGAGCTGGAACGTATGGCTAGAGAAAACAACCAACCTCCCACGCTGAACAAGTCCGACAGTGAAGTTTCTCAAGGTAACAAATGCAATATTGGTGAAAATAGCGAACGGTTTGGTGAAATTGGTGAAGCTGTCTTAGCTGGTGTAGAATCCACCAAGAGGGTTTGTGAGATCGACACCAAACGACCTGTCGAAGCTACCCCAGAAAGTAATGCGTCTCCGGCTTCCATTAATAGTGGGGATTTGGGAGTGCTTGTCGAACAAGTGCTGGTCAATGACATCAAGAAAAAGAAAGTGGATTCAACAGCCTCAGCCAAACGGAGGTTGGACATGGAGGGCTCGATCCAAGACGAAAAGGAACCAAAAGCAGCAAAGGTCAAAGGAGGGAAAAGGGTAACTCTTGTGCGTCTGAATCCAGCTAGTCGAGCTTCGGGCAGACCCAAGCAGAAAGCAAAATTCAAGAAGGCGAAGAAGGCGAAAGAAATTGAGGAAACAATGCTATTTGTAGATAACCTTGTCTCTTATGGGGATATTACCTTGGAGTCTTTCGAAGAGGCGGTCAAGACCAAAGAACTCTCGGTTGCTGGTATTGGTGATACGACGCGTGCCATCCGACCTATGTTCGAGTCGGCAGTTTTTAAGCGACCCAAAGCTTTCTTGATCGTCGACAAGCCCACGCAAGTTGTAGAGACAGGTGTCCGCTTTGTTTTACCAGGTAACCTGATGAAGGCTATTTTTATGGCTTGGTAAATTGTTCACCAAGGTTTTGGTGAAGTGTTGGTGAAATTGTGGGAAAGTCACCAACAATTTGCGTCTCTACTTCAAAAAAGTACTAACATTGCCGCCGTCTTTGTTTGATGCAGAAGCTTTGGTACTCAAGTGCTTAGATTCTGCTAAGAACGTGATAATTCGACAGCAACTGCTCAGTGACAAGAACCCTACAGCAAAAGAGCTTGGAGTGTCGATTTTAGATGTGAGGACCTTCTCTATTCTGGATATCGAGCGTATGAAGTTGTGGCATGAGGTATCGAGAAAGCTTCTCAAGGCCCAAAAGCTAATCAAGTTTGTAAAAAATTTATCGATAGAACGCGGTGCTGAATCCAAGAAACAGCAAGAGATTCTGAAGAGGATACCGCACATGGGTGCTGACACAGTCTATCATACTGGTGGGCACGACATCCATTTTACGGAGCTCGCTAGATTTGGAGATGAAAGTTGGTTAAGTGATACATGCGTGTATCTGGCATCGCAACGTGTTGCGGAGGAAGCAACAAAGTTATCCTGGTGGCAGCCCAAGATAGTGAGTGTTGTCGACCCCATCTACTTACAAATGGCATACGTGGAAAGAAGAAGTGGATTTATCGACACTAGCGATCGCATCTTCAGCCAAATACAGGCGAATCGAATTGTATGCTGCCCGATTTATATCAACGTGACGTTTCCACACTGGTGTGGTATTATCTTTGACATGGAGCGTCAAACAGTATGGACATATGACCCTTTTTATAGAGAGGATTTCCTAAGAAGGGTGGAGGATATTTTCGAGAGCCGATTTCGACCGATTATGGCTACTGCGATGGAAGTTAAAAACTTCCCAGGCTCGCTACAAGATGACAGTTATAGTTGTGGAGTATTGGTTGTTCTCTGGTTTGAACAGTACATGTCTATCGCTCGAGCTACTCCGCCCGACCAGAGTATCCCCTTTCCCCGCGGCAACAAACTGCACCCCAAGGACCTGACGTACATGCGTTTCAAGCACCTTTCCTACGTATTTGATCGCGTAGTGGCAGATACAGACATTGATCAATAATGCATGAATATATGTTTTGTATAAGGAGCATGAGTGGATCTAGTGCTGGTGCACACTACGATAGCAAGAGATCCGCAACGAGTGTGCCACGCAAATTTAAACATTTTTCTCTAAATACCGCACTGGTACCGGTAGAGGTCTTCGCCATATGATCCTCATTTTCGCCCATTCTTTAACGAAAAACTTGGTGACTGTAGGGAGAGCCATATACTTATCGCTAAGCTTAGAAACGAAGATCTGCTGAGGTGATGCAAGCAAGGAAATTTGCTTTAATGAAGTCGTGGGATATTTGGCGGATGGGGCGTGGGAGAACGATGCCGTGCTAGCCTATGCACTGGATGTCATGACCGAGGACCGAGACAAAGTGAACGTATTGTCGTCGCTCGTTATTCAGAAGAGCTTTCCGACCCCTCCACGTCGGGACCTTTTCTCAATGAAATTCATAGTACTGTCAATTAACAACTCCAATGCGCATTGGACGTTTATGATTGTTGTCGTGGAGAGGCACGGTGTGCTACGCCCGCACTTCTACTACCCTCTTTGCAACGATCACTACAAAGATAACGCGGACGATCTTTGGACAGCAAACTTTTGTCATACCTACGGGCGTGGCACGCGCAGTGGAGCACTGGGGGGGGGCGAGCCGGAAGAAATTCACGTTCCGGACAACATGGAGGGAGAGGTCGCCTACGCAGCCAGGTGGAAGAAGTTGTGGGATAATAATGACCGCTATGGCCTACTCGTTCATTCATGGAGGACGGGGGTTTACTGCGGACGTTGTGACCAAGGATGTCGCTAAAGTTATGCGACTAAGATTGCTCTGGGCTATTACGTGCACATCTATGAGCAAGTCTATAGATGCAGATGAACAGAAGAGCGTAGCGGAGATAGGAAAACAGCTATCGCGAGCATTTGTGCAGGTTAGAAAGAAAGTATGTAATAAGATAGTTAAATTCAATTCAACTTTAATTTGACTGTGGGACAGGTTCTTATCGCAGTAGCTACACTGCTGTCAACTTGATAACGTCGACCTCGACGATTGCTACATCGATCCTCTGCTGTCAAGTCGATAACGTCATCCTCGCTAGCTCGAAATTATAAAGTAAGGTAGAGAACAGGATTCACGAGTCGTGAATCTACAAGCTCTGGATATTAATTTCCAGAGAATATTACTATTAATAAAATATAAAACTTGAAAGTATGCGCATAAAAGGAATTATGCCTGAAAGTGACATGGGCAAGCTACTGGCATGGGGTGACGAACTATTCCTCGTGCGCTGTGAGCTCGGGAAGATCCAGCTCCAGCGCGTATCTGTCGACGCCGAGAGGAAGAAGGCGTCGCTGCATCTGTGCAGCATCAAAGACGACGAAGTTGCTGCGCTGCCAGTTGACGCCAGTCTTGTGGCCGCCAAAGAAGTGGAGGACACGGAGCTTGCCATGTACGTTCCTCGTCCTGCATCTAACCAGGAAACTACCGTGATTCATTGTGCGTATTGATCCTGGTTATTATACGCTACAGTCGCTACCCGATCCTAGTCTTCCGTGCTCCAGGAAAGACAGTGACAATCAACAGCTCCTCAGCATCTCGCAAGCGTCGACGCTCTTTGAAAGACAAGGCGGCGTTTACGTCGAATGATGAGTCGATGCTGCCCAGAGCTGGCGATTGCCTGCTCTTCTGTATTTTATACGAAACGGAGAGTGATGGCGAGATTGGTGTCAGGATATTGAACATGTTGGATACTCCCATACGTGTTGAAGAGAGTGAAGACATTACGTGTGGAGACGATTCCTATTCTCTTCAACTCTTCCCGACGGATGGACCTTACGTACTTCTCTTCCGGAGAAATGCACAAGTGGCAACTGTGTTGAAACTGCAAAGAACAACTCAACAGAGCGGAGATTTAGGATTTCACGTATGGTACGAGAAAGTGGAAATGTTTGGTGTGGAAGGCGATGCGTCAGTGCCTTTTGAGCTGCTGTCTTGTAAGTATGTGTCTGGGACGCACTGTACCAGACCACATTTGCTGATTCATGCACTGCCAGCCGACAGGTAAACAACTCGAGCAAGGTGTTTCTCGTTTTACTCGTGTCCTAATTATTATTTTCTGTGTACGATGTCATCTCGGTTAGTGAAAAACACACTTGGCGTGTCCTGGATTTGGATGGTGAAAGGCGAGATGGAGTCAAAGAAACTTCGCGGTGTCACTACCTGCATACGGCTTTCGAACTCAATGAAAATTCGCCGAAGCCCGAGCAAGTAACTTGCTGTTGCTTCATTTCCAAGATGAATGAGTGGGATTTCTCAAGTTCAGTGTTCACTGAGACGACAACAATCCCGTCGTGGGGTCACGAGTCCAGCAAAACGCAATCTTCTCGAACGAATATTTCTGTGTCGACGTTAGTGGTGACTGGGACTACCAGTAATACTGTATACGTTCACGAAAACGGGATTCTACTGGTTTCCTACGTGTTGCCAGCCCAACCAGCTAAAATGTACGCTTGGGTCGAGATTTTAGATCTTGAGTTGGAGTTACTAACGAATGCGCTGTGTGATACCGGTAGATGGCTTTTATGTGAGGATAACGCAACCCAACAGCACGTGATCTGCGTGCGCTGTGACGATACAAACCGCTCTTTCTTCATGCTGAGGTTTTCCAGCAATGTACCAAGTGCGTCCATGGATCTTCTTCTCTGTAAGTTGTCTTATGCTTCTTATATTCGCTCTGGAACCAACGATTGACTTCGTATCGTCCGGTGTGACAGCTTTTAACCACGTAGGCCACGCGTATCCTGGAAATTTTGCTGCTGATATTTCTGGCTCACGCCAAGTTCTTCTCGTAAATGGCGTTCCTGGAGTACTAAACACGAGTGCCGACTGCGCCAATGCTGTGGACGACGGACAGCTCATAAAACGCAGTGTACTTGTCACGCAGAAGCCGTCAGCGTCTGACGTGAAGCTTTCTTGTCATCGTCTGCGGCTACAGGAAGATCCGAAGTCCAATCAGGCTTCTCGGTCCCGAAAGCGCTCTCGTAATAGCGAGAAAGGCACTGGAAAAGACGCTCCTAGTCGCTCTACGCCAGAATCGTTTCACTACATTCAGCGTACTCACAAGGCCTCGTCACGTGACGTTAACCAGCTCGATACGGAGACCGATAGCCAAGCTAATGTCGTAGCTGCTTCGGCGTTGCAGCTTGGCAAGCTTGTAAGCTCACTGACGGCACGTCTGAGCAAAGGATTACTGGAGCTGGGACGTTTACAAATGATCGTGGGCGATAAGAATATGCTGGCTCGTCAACTCAACCAGCTTATCATACGACAGTGGCAAAAGCAGCAGACGAGTGCAAGCCACAGCAAAGAGCAGACACTCTTGACACCCCTGCGTCTAACTCAAGAAGCTGGTAGCCTCGCTACGGGATCCAAAGAGCTCGTAGAGATGGAAACAATCGTCAGTGCTCCACCGCGTGCTGATACCATCACCAGAAACGCTGTGAAGAGTGAAGCATTGGAGTACAATCGAAGTGACTTCAAGCTTGAGCAGCAAGTGTCACTGGAACAATTCCGTGTGCTTGGATACGTACCGTCGTCCTCACGTATCCATGCAGAAGTCTCCCTCAAGAATCTATCCGACTCAAGACTCGACGATGCGTTCGTTGTATTGACTGCGCCCGAGTGGACATTGTCGCAAGGCTGGAGCTGTACCAGCTCAGTAATTCCTGAATTTCCTCCTACAACGGATATGGATCACACAGCAGGGAGCGCTCGATTTCACTTGGAGATTCAGTTTAAACCAACGTTTTCATTTCTTCGAGAGCGGAGGCCATTGGAAGTGATGCTGTGGCTTCACTGGAGTGCATCTCGAGATAAGGGTCTATCCATGGCTCTCGACTGGCGGCCAAGCGAGTCAGCGCTTGCTGTTGCGTCCATCAAAATCCATCCTGCTGACGTGTTAGCTGCCAGTCGAGAGGCATGGACTAAAGGTACGTGTGCTAATCCTAGTGCTTGTAATGTGTCTAACCTCCCTTGGTACTACGCAGACCAAGAGCGACTTTTGTTCGTCTCGTCCGGCTCAAATTTGAAGTCTCTATTCTCGAACCCGAAGTTTGGGATCTTCACGTCACCTGACTCGATCATTCGACCAACATTTTCACTGGTGGATCTCAAGGTGAACTCTTCCGAATTATTCCAGTACGAGTTGAGTCAGATGGTCGCGAAGACACCGCCAGACGTGTATGTGATGCGCAATCCGCTCCAACACTCTCACCTTCGAACGCTGCAGTGTCTGCTCATCTCTATGCGCCAAGAACTCGAACAGAAGGACAAACTTGTCGGAAATTACAAGACACAGAGAGCAACGTTTAAGGGTCAGGACAGTGCGTCGATGCACCGCTCGATACAGCGCGACACAGATCTCCACGCTGTCCGTTTGCTCCAGGAATTGCAGCAGCGCGTCAACTTTCACTCAATGTGGTTTGATACTTCCACACGCAGCTAAGACGTCGACGCAACAGACACAAGTACACTCGAAGCGTTGGTTTTAAGTTTAGTGTTTGTGAAATAGTCGCACCAGCTACGATGTCACAGAGCAAGCTCCAGTCTGGAGACCAACAATCTGTCGCTGAAGATCGCTCATCAGCTCAGTGTTTACCAGCAACGAGTGCTCGATTCTTGACAGTGACATTTGCAGACGCAAGATAACGAACAGCAGAAGCAACACCAAAACCCACGGGAACACTTTAACCGGAGCTGTGCGAGCTCCAGTTGGCATTACAACGGCAGTGGAGCTTCGGTATCGGTGGCTTGGCTTGCTCCGACTTCGGCTGCGACTTCGATGCCTCGTCGTTGGCCCACGATCCTTTCTCATAGCGCCGTGCACAGTCGCTTTCTCGGAAGAAGAACTTGAGGTAGGAGCGCTTTCCGAGGCGCAGTTTGCCGCTTCATGGAGGTCTCTTGTGTCGAGAAACTCCTTGGCCATGCTAACCCATTTTTCCCACTTGGCACGGTTGTCACTGATGGCACGTGTCTCGATTGTCTTCTTCCAAAAGGTAGACTTGCCAAAAACCACCTATGAAAAATCGCAGGAGCACTTAATTCAGTACACTGCACTTCCGGTAAGTTCTTGCTCAAGACGCACCTTTAGCTCAATAAATACTTTGCAAGCGTTAGGATCCGAAGACCGTGGCACGATAGTCCATCGATCTTCCACACTGAAGTAGTCGCCGTATGGGATATCCACAAGACGCGTCGAGCTCTCGACGACTCTCACGCCGTGTTCGTTCTCTTTTAGGCATTGCAGCTGCAACGTTTTATCATGTTAGTGAGCAGTTTAGTTCATAGGACAAGCCTCATGTACGTACCACGTCAACTTGGGAAGATTTGGGACCGATCGGAGCATCAACCGGCACTCGGAACTGCAGCGAACGCGTCATACCTGTCGAGAATCGCATAAATCAGTACATGTTCAGCGTTTGGGGGGCTGCAACGATACAGCGTACCGAAAGACTCTTCGTCTTCCAACGGCGTCGTCCACGGGTTGATCGTCATTTCAGTCGACCCTGTTTGTTCGTTGAACTTGTCCAGTCCAAACGGTGCCTTGTCCAGATAGAAAAGCTTCATGAAAGTGTCGACCGATACTGGGAAAACCTCTTCGAGAATCTGCGTCATCGAAATGTCCTTCGGTGCGATCGTGTCCACATCCGAAACCACACTACGTCGACGCGGCGTTACGGGAGCTGTCTGGTCATCAGCGTCCGTCTCGTCATCGTCGACATTCGCATCGTCATTGCCAGCCGCTGCGTGGTCGGACGTAGCAGCTTCTTCCTCCTCTTCTTCGACTGTAGAGCTGGGTGGTGACGGCGGAGGAGATGCAGCGGGTGACTGAGAGGGTCTAGAGACAGGAGACGTTGGCAGAGCTGGGTACGTCGACTCCGACGAGTTCTCTGCAGGAGGACGCAGTTCACGCAGCACTCGGTCACGTGTCTTGACGATGAGATCATAGCAAGTATCCCGGTTATTGCTCCAGAAGCTCGTGAACGTGTACTCGTCCTTGTCCAGCGTCGCGAGGCGAATCGCATGTTGAAACATCATCGTCGTCGTCTTTTCAATTTCGCGAATGGACTCGTACGGGATCAAAATCTGCAGACAAGAGCAACAATAACAACATACATGTTCAGTATTAAGAAAAGTATCAATTGCGACACCACGGTCGGGAGTCAGCATTGCACACGAAGCAAAGCTAAGCTGCAACACCAAGAGAATAACCCCGAGTGTATCCTTGAAGGTCCACCCTCTCGAACTATCTGACCTTTCTCTCACGGCCAAACACGTTCGAGTAGAAGCACACATGTGAACTCGTCGGATACATGCGTCCGTGCATAGCCAGCGTAGACGCGATAGCACACGAAAAGTCTGGACCGACAACAAAATCCAGCGACACGTCGTTAGAGCGACTGTCCATTCGCTTCAGTGCCTTCACTTTTGAGGCTTTGTACGCACCTTGGTAGAACTGTGTAGACTCGGGTAAGTCGAAGATCATGCAGATGACTTGGTCGCGTACTTGTTCCTGCTCTTTTTCCTGCGGTGTGGGGCTTTCTAATGGTAGAAATTCCTTATCTAGTGGCAAATTAAGTCGCGGTCGATCGTCGCACGTGCTGGCGAGTGACACTTCGTCGCTCTCCTTCCTGCTGTGGTGTGAAGAGCTCATGCTCTTGTCGGTAAGACTCGAGCCTGTGTGGTGGCGCTGTCGGTGTCGATGGTCAAAGCTTCGCCGTCTATTCTTGCGGTGGCGATGATACACGTCGTCTCGTTCGTCCTCGTTGTCGTCGGCTGTGTGTGGAGCTCTGTGCCGGTGCTCACCACGGTGACGGCCAGCGCGACTCTCGTGGCTGCTGGTCGAGGACACGGACGAGCTAGACGAGAAGGCTGAAGCCAGGTTCCGGAGAGCCGAGAGCTCCATCACCTCCGCAGCGTTGACACTTTTCGACACTGCGACGACGGTTTGTGATAAGAAAAGTGCGATCATTTACATACGTTTATATGAACGACATTATTTCTTCTGTCCTGATTATCGCGTATCGCACAAGTGAGATGAGCACCTGCGCAGTGAACAACGAGCGCAATTGCGGCACGAACGACCGCTCAAATAAGCGAACGTGGATTCAGGTGGAACGCACGTTGCAAGCTTGTCTTACTCTTTACAGTGGAGACCACCAAATCTGGTACTTACATGTACTCAGCAAAGCTTCATGGCGTGAATTGGAAGTCGACGGTCTTTGAAGTTAGTGCTGGTCTAGCACTTATAAGTCCATGTACCGGTATTCGATACCGAGCATCATCAGAAAGAGAACCAAATGGATATTGACAACTTTAACATCTGTGTCTTCAATTGCATAAGCCGACCCAGTGGAAAATGTCCAGGAGCTACAGTAATCAGCTTCAACACGTATCTTGGAGCCAACTTGTCAGCGCTTGAAGCGCGGGTCCTCCTCCACCTTGTTGAGGATCTGTTCGAGACGGCGAGCCTCTTCGACGTTGCCAGACTTGTAGAACATCTGCATCTGCGACCGCAGTCGTTCCTGTTCGCGCATGGCCTCGATCTTGTCCTTATCCATGAGCTGCAGCACGAGGCGGAATTCCTCCTGCTCCTTCTTGTCGCGTGCTGCCAGACGCTCGCGCCGCACGCGTTCTTCGTCGGCCAGCGTATCCAGAGCCTCGTCCGACGCACTCTTCTGCTTGGCGTGTGCCTTGCGCTGTTGCTTCTGATAGCGTTTCATCTCGTACTTCTCGATGTCGTAGTATTTTTCATGAGGCAATGTGCACGTGTTGTAGTCCTCCATGTACTCCTTAAAGAGCTCCATGGCTTCCCATTTGGGACCGTTAAACTCGCCCATCTTCTTAACATCACGCACCCACGCCTGGAACGACACGCTCTTGTTGTGGAAATCCGACTCGCGCAGGATACCGTACTTGCCATACTCGTCCTGATTCACCGCGTGCTTCTTGCTTTCTTTCTTGCTCTTTTTGCTTTTCTTCTTCTTGCCCTTCTTATGCCGCTTCTTTTCTTTCCGAGAGCTACTGCGCTTGTGCTTCCGCTTCCGACGCGATCGCTCGTCATTGGAGCTGTCAGAGTCGGAGTCCGACGAAGAATCCGATGAAGAAGAGCGTGACCGACGTCTCGAGTGGCGATGGTGGTGTTTGTGTCCACTGTCGTCCCTGGATTTATCGTTTTCCCTTTCCTTAAGGCTACTGCTGTCATCATCCGAGTCCACTACCGTCCACATACGCGACCTATTCTCCACTTCCTCGCGGTTGTCGAGTTTTTGCTTCTCGGAACCTTCCTTTTCGCGCTCGTCACGGCGTCTGTGCTTACGCTCATGCTCATCTCGATGGTGCCGGTGGTGACGACTGTGTCTCAAAGAGGTTGAGTGGCTCGCGCTCCTACTTCTACTGCGACTCCGACTATGCCTGCCATGTCTTCGACGCGGACTGTGGCTGGACGAGCGTCGGTGGCTGCGACTGTGGCGCCGCTCACTCATCCTCACTAAGGATCAACCAGTGCTGCATCCATTAACAGTTGAACAGCAATCAATTGGGGAGCAGCCAGTTAGAGAGCAGAGCACTTATAGCGAATCAGAACGGCTTATTTGTCCTCCATAATGGCCGAGGAGCAGGTTGACGACATCACTGGTGGCGGCGACGTGCTGACGCATGGAGTGCGCGGATACAGCTCTCAGATATTCGATGATCCGGAGATGGCTTGGAGGCTTCATCAGGAATCGCATCTGATCCCGTGGCGTGGCGAGAGCGACGGAGACCTGCGCATAGATCGCTTCGACATCCGGAATTTGTTGGAGGACCGGAGTCTGTTCCGGCAGCTGAAGAAGAGGAAGCGAGTCGATCCTAAAGACAGAAAGTCGGAGAGAAAAACTGCAAAAGAAGATGCCGGGGATGATACAGAGGAAACGGAGGAGCAGCTGCTGCATCGCCTACGATACGGAGACTACGCAGTCGAGTTCCCGCCGTCAGAGGAAACATTTGCGACGAAGAACAAGTTCCCGTATCAATACACAGACGAACAGAGTGACCAGGAGAGTGATGGTGAAGCTTATGAACCGCTGTGGGAGGTGCCAGATCACCTTATAATGGTAAGAAGCCGTCGATGTCGATGATTGGTCCAACATGTTGAAGTGAAATGTTGCTGCGTTTGTAAAGCCAAAGACCAAGAAACGGCATGCGATTCTAGAAGCCACAGCTAACAAGGTGCGGGGTAATCCACAACTGGAAGTTATGCTGAAGGTATGAGTCCGCAGCGTCCTACACAGCTACATAACTAACGTTAGATGCACGCTGCGTTTTGGTAAGGTCAAGCTCGGCGACAACAAAAAGTTTCGGTTTCTAGATGCCTCGCACGCTCTTCATGGCTACTATTGTTTCTTACGCGACGAGAATCCACAGACATTACCCAAAAAGAGTGCAACAAAGGTGTCGCTACTTGGAGACGAGTATTCGGATGTAAGTACACTGAAGAGCTCAAGAGCGATCACTTTCGTGCAGTGTTAACGTGCTTGTATGCTTGTATCAGAGCGATGATGAAGCTGAAGAGACCACTTATGACACCAAACAACAGAGCGACACACATGATAAGCGTCAACACAAGCTGTCCAGGTATCACTAGTAAGAAATAGGTAAGTGCTTTGTAGAAACTTGTTTGGTATCAGCTTGTCTTGGTTTTTGCATTATCCTTATTCAATGAACCCGCGACAAACAATACGACGCCATTCTAGCAACGAGACGCTTACGGGAACAACCTCTTGGGGTCACGCGGGAACATGGAGGCCTTACGGATGTTGCCCAGACCCAAGTACAACATGACCACACGCTCCAGACCAATACCACCGCCACCGTGGGGCAGAGCGCCAAGACGGAACGAGTCGATGTAGTTGCGCATCGACTCCTGAGGCACACCCAGTTCGTCCATACGCTCCATCAGCAGCTTGGGATCGTGCACACGTTGCGCACCCGAGACGATCTCCTCGCCACGGATCATCATGTCGTACGAGTTGCTCCAACGCTTGTCCGTCGGGTCCGGCATCGTGTAGAATGGACGCACAGCCAGCGGGAACTTGTCGAGGATGTAGAAGTCCGTGTCGTATTTCTCCTTGACGAGACGACCCAGCCACTTCTCGTTCTCTGTGCTCAGATCGTCTTCAGGCTCCTGGTCAGCGCCAGCCTCCTTCAGCATCTTGACACCTTCCTCGAAGTTGATGATAAGTGACGGCTTGTTGTACTTGAGCGGCTCGAACGGGTACTGCTCGTTAATAGTAGCCAATTCCTTGGCGTAACGTTCCTTCAAGCCATCGAAAATGTAGATGAACAGGTCAGAGAACACCTCCAGCACCTCGTGGTAGTGCTCCTTAATAGTCATCTCCAGATCCAGACCCACGAACTCGCACATGTGACGGTGCGTGTTCGAGTTCTCAGCACGGAAGACCGGGCCGATCTCGAACACACGCTCGAGACCAGCAACAGCACACGCCATCTGCTTGTACGTCTGCGGACTCTGAGCCAAGGCGGCGTCCTGGTCAAAGTACTTGAGTGTGAAGCAGTTGGCTCCGCTCTCCGAGGCGCCACCAACCAGCTTGGGCGTGTGGATCTCCACGAAGTTGCGCTGGATGAGGAATTCACGGAACAACTGGCTCACTGCGGCCTGGATGCGCATGATACACTGGTTGGCAGGTGTACGCAGGTCCAGCGGACGCGAGTTGAGACGCGTCTCCAGACCCACGTTCACGTAGGTGGATCCTTCGGCCTTCACGAGGGCGTCGGGGCGGGCAGCGTCTTCTACCTGGAAGGGCAATTCGGGCAGAGCCTTGCTGACCACGAAGAACTTCTCGACATTCAGCTCCACGTCCTTCTGTGTCGTGCTAACAACGGGGCTGTCGGGCACGCTGAGAGTGACATACACATCGACGACGGATTCCTTGGACACACCGGCCGCGAACTTAATCATCGGACGCGAGACCTTATCGCTCTCGTGCAAGATGCCCTGGATCGTGGCCGTCTGCTCGCGCAGAGTGATGAATGCGATCTTCGACTTGGCACGCACAGCCTGCAGGTGGCCACGCACCCAGAAGCTCTCGCCCTGCAGTTCCGGGTTCAGGTCCTCGACACTGCAGCAACGTACTACGACTCAGACCCATGTAAGTGTACGGGGAAGAAGATTGCTAGCTACGTACGACTTGTAGTTCTTCTTGGGACGCTCCTGCGACTGGATGAGCGGCAACTCGCCGTATGTGTCGGTGAGTGTGGGGCCAGCGGCAGCTGCAGCAGCTTTCTGGCGCTCCAGGATGCGCAGCTCCTTCTTGGTGAGCTTCTTAGGGGCGGGGGCGGGCGTCGCGTCAGCCATCTTGCCTTGCTTGGTGTCAATCGGATTGTGACGCTGCGAGCCAAGCAGGAGTGTGCGTTACAGAGAGGAAATATAATCCAATAGTCTCTTGAAAAGAGGTGAGGTACCACATATCCGCCAATCGTCATCCAGATATCGCAGTCAAATAGACACGATTGGGCAAAATACCGTCCAAAATGTGCAGACCACGAGAAAAATGCGGAAGGCTATCAAGCGCACGGCTAAGGTTGCTGCGACGGCGCCGCGCCGATCGCCGCGTCTCAACAAGGCATTAGCACAGAGTGAGACCATCATTACCGTGACCACCGTATCTGTCCGTTCTAAACGCACTTCGAAGCCGAAGAAAGCTGTGAAAAGCAAGGAACCAGCGACGCTATCCCGAGTTTTTGAGACTCGCTACGAAGCTAAAGGCTACACGACTGTCATTGGCGTGGATGAAGCCGGTCGAGGACCTTTAGCTGGCCCTGTGGTGGCAGCAGCATGTCATGTGCCTCTGGACGTGACGATCGCAGGCATTGACGACAGCAAGAAGATCTTGGAGCCCCAGCGCGAGGCACTATTCGAGCTATTGACCTCGCACCCGAACATCACGTACGCCGTGCACGTGAACAGCCCACAGCGCATCGATGATATCAACATTCTGCAGGCATCACTGGAATCTATGACCAAGTCGGTGAACGAAGTGGCTCAGCAACTACAGCAGAAAGACAAAACGTTCGTGCTCGTAGACGGCAACAAACTTCCACCAACTCTAGAACTGCCTGCAGAGGCAGTGGTCAAAGGTGACTCCAAGGTCTACAGCATCGCCGCAGCTTCCATTATCGCCAAGGTCACACGAGACCGCCTCATGCGCGAATACGACGTGAAGTTCCCCCAGTACGGACTCGCGCAGCACAAGGGATACCCGACGCGAGACCACGTAGCTGCCATCGCCAAGCATGGACCGTGTGAGATTCATCGCATGACATTCGCACCGTTAAAGCCTAAAGAGGCTCCCAAGCCCAAAGCGAAAGGCAAGAAGAAGTCCGCGTAAGGAATATCCTACGACCAAGATATAAGGCATCCCATTTATATGTATTGTCTTGGCACAATTTATAGATATTTTTTCTACCCTACTAGGCTATTTACTAACAAAAGGAAATTGTGTATGCAACGGAGCAACTCGAGCTGCAGCCTCAGTTGGACTCTCAAAGCCACAGTCGCTGTGGTTGCTGTCAAGGCCTCGTGGTGAGCTAGCGAAGGAAGACAATTCGTCCGTCGGGTTGCGTATATGCGACGGCAACTTTAGCGACGTCATGGCTTGCATATGATCCTCGAAGCAGGCGTCGCACACACGTTGGGCCGCCATGTAACCCAAGTGAGGAAGAGCTAGTTGACGTGTCGAGTGTTCGTAGCAGAACGAGTTGCCACATTGACGACAGTGGTGACGACGCACGAGAAGATTGAAGGTGCAGTCGCACTCGAAGCAGGTCGGGGCCTTGGCGAAACGAGGCACAACAGCTCCGGGACGAACTGTCACAGACGGCGTCGCGTAGCACGAAGAAGAGTTCGACGACGACCGCTTACGGTACATACCAGTAGATGCTGAACGTCTGGGTATCGGGTGACGACCTCGGCTGAACAGATCTTCCTCGCCGTCTACGGAGCGATCATCGTAGCTCGGACTGTCAAAGTAACCTGACATACGACTGCTTGTAGCGTGCGTCATGCTGTGCGGTACTGCAAAGTTCCAACGAGACGGACCTTGTCGACCACATGAGGTCAAAGGCGCAGGAATCCGAAGCGGACTATCAACAGCGCGTGAACGGCGCTGGCTTATGCACGAGGCTGGACCTGCATCGATGGCATTGTTATCCACCTTCAAGTCAAGTTCAGGCAACTGCAGTTGCAACTGCATCGTTTTGCGCTTGATTTGTGACGCCACCAGCTTCTGGAGCGCAATTTCTTGCTGCTGTTGACGTTCTGGCGAAGGTTCGTCAGCAGCGGCCTCTCGGATCTCTTCACGCAGTTGCGAGACTTCCTTCTGAGCCTCCGCTTCCTGTAGTCGCCACAAATCCAAGCTGTGGCGTCGATCACGAGAGCGAGAGCCACGAGGTGACGCAGGTGGCGTCTTGTCTATTTCTGCTGCTTCGTTCGCTGGTTCTAGCGTCGGTGGTAGTCTGAATTGGCGAGTCCGACGTGAGTTGGGAGTCTGCAGTTTGGGCTTCTGCTGACTGTACGACAGATCCACAACACAGCCGATGTCACGACCATCTGCAGCGTTGGGGTTCCCTCCAGTGTCCATTGTTAAGAGATCGTCCGATAGTTCCAGCTCCAATTGATTCTCACAGTCACGTTGGTTGTTATCGTCTTCAACAGGACCATTTTCATTCTCTGAGGAGAGCACAACAGCCTTGTGTGGCGACTTGTGCGCAGGATCTTTAGCAAAATTGAACGAAGGGAACGGTTGCTGTTGACGCTCTTTACTGGCACTCAGAGCCACCAAGACCTGCATCTGTCGACGTAATTCAGCCACTTCGTCCTTAAGTTGAGCGTTGTCTTCCTTCAGCTTGGCCACATTCCTGCTCTCTTCACGCTTCACCTTCAATACTTGTCTAGCGGAGCGTGCACGCAGCGCGCATTGAAGCGCCAATGTGGCACTACACAGCTTGCGGTACTTCCATTGAGTAGTCGATCGACGCCAAGCTGTGGAGATGCGTGTCACCGCACGAGCCTCACGACGTGCCTGCACCACTCGTGTAGCTAGAAGACATCGGAAACGACACTGCACTGCCAGCACTCCTGCACGTGCTCGTAAAAATCTGCTTCGCGCACAAATCTGGCGCATTCTCGACTGCAGCACTCGCGCTTGTTGCATCGCACGCATCCAGCACACCATCCTGTAGGCACGACGTCCTCGCACACGCGCTTGCATGGCGATCGCAGCTTGACGAAGATGTCTGTAGCTACGTCGAGCCACAAACCCTCTGACGTGTCGTTGGAGAATTAGACTGGCACTCTGTCGAACAGCTACGCGCACATTCTCCAGCTTCTCGTACGGTTTGCGACGGAAGAAGACGCGAGTCTTGCCGAGACTAACACCACAGCGCATCTGGCGATCCTCCTCATCCTCAGCTCCTTGTTCCAGCTCTTCATCGACAAGAAGAACTTGTGTGAGTTGGTGTAGACACAAGTCAAGTTCACTCCAGTTCCTGTGCTTCCGTTCAAAGTCATTGTCCCCCCACTTGTAGAGCGAGAGCAGCACACGCCGATACCGTCCGAGGAACTGCTTGTGTGAAAGACGCACAGGGAATCCCGCACGCGCAACTCTCACTGCTTCAAGAACACCGCCACTGCGTAGCTGCTCGACAACACGCGTGCTTTGGAACAATGAGCCCACATGAGAGTCGTTCGGTTTAATACAGCGCACATATCGAGGCGTCGTGGCACGGACAGTGCTCAGCAACTCGTTCAATTGAATCTTGAATTGCGTCCCCACACTAACCGCTGCAATAGCCGACTTGGCGCGTCGACGTGTTCTACCACCATAGCCATCCAACTCACTATCTCCATTGGCGTCTTCATCGGTCGATCCAGCAGCTAGAGCCTGGATGAGAGGGTTGGACGACCCCGCCAGCAATTGAGCGGCACTCTCACAGAAAGAATCCTTGTTTTTCGCAAGGAACCCATCAATAGTATAGGTGACGCAGCCAGCATAATGAGCTACTACGAACTGTGTCGTGCGCTGGATCAGTGGAGCCGAGCGGAAATGCGGATGAGTCTTCTTCTTCTCAAACTCCAGATAGTATTTAGCCACAAGAGCCCGGTCAGTGCCTTGAGGGAAGACACACTCCTGGTCTGTAAGCGAGAAAATACCGATTGGTCGGTGTTCATACAGCTCGAGGCACGCACGGTTATTAGGGAAATCCACGAAGCTCCAACGGATCCCTTCGTCGCGGTACAGCCGCTGCTCCTCCTCGAAAATGTATTGGTTGAACTGATGTTGCAATGCCTCATTGGCGTAGTTGATACAGAGCTGCTCGAAGGAATTCTCGGCCATGTCTTCAAAGCCAAAGATATCCAGCAGACCGATGAAATCCGCCGAGTCTTCTTCGTCGTCAACATCACTGTCATCAGCATCCCACGGATCACTCGCCTGCCGTTGCAGTTTGTTATTAACGCGAGCAACAAGCCACTCAAACAAAAGTCTGTAGCTCTCCATAGTCAGCGCATTGCGCGTGTTGCGTGCATGGGCCACGTCGACTCCCACGACCAACGTCTCGTTGGAGGCATGAATCCAACGCTTGGTCAGCGCATGATCTAGCGCCTCTGTCGACACTCCCAGCAACTCTGCGGCTTTAGTGAAGTGATCATACACACCAGTCGAGGAATGCATGACACGGGCTTCGTCAGCAAACGCGTTGTCGTCTCCCTTGTGTGATACTTGTTCAAAGTCCACATTGCCCATATGTAGCACTGCGGCCACGATCTCCAACACGCTGCCGATCTCCCGTTCACTCATACCAAGTTGTTGCATGGCTCTCTTAGTGGACCGGAACTGTACGCCATCCTTGACACCGTCACGTCGCTTGGAGCACAAACTCTGGTTCAGAAGACGGAAGCTTTGCGGTCCACCACTCAACGCCAGCACTTGTTTCTGTTCTTTACTCACGCAATTGTTGTCTGCACTCAGCAGCTCATAGAAAATGTGGAAGTTGCGTTCGTGAGCAGCTTGTTTGATGACTCGGATCTTCTCCAATAAGTACGTCCGGATTCGAGCACCTGCGAGTTTCCGGCGCTCGTCCCGGAAGCGCAACTCGATGAACTTGCCGAACCGCGAACTGTTGTCGTTTCGTACTGTACGAGCGTTACCGAAGGCCTCCAGAATCGGGTTGGACTGCAGAACTTGCTCTTCAATCGTCGTACGGGACGGCGAGGGTGGGGGTGACGTGGTTTCTGCCAAAGTGTTGCCAGTACCGCAATGGACGGCAAAGTACATCATGATGATCTTAGTGGCTTCCGTCTTGCCTGCACCGCTCTCGCCACTAATGAGGATAGATTGACTACGTGCGTTTTGAACAATGTCAATGTAGGCTGCACGAGCTACGGCGAAGAGATGCGGCTCTCTCGGATCTGTGGTTGTCACACGGTCGCCGAACGGCGAGTTGTGGTCGTAGGCGTATCCCTTCAGTATTTCGTCGCCGTAGAGTTGCGGGAGGTCTTGGAAGGGGTTGATGGAGATGAGGATGTCGCCGATGTGTGTGTAGATGGCGTGACGTTCGTAGCGCAGTCGCAGTGCATTAAGGATCGAGGCCTCGTGTAGATGCGGGAGGGCCACTAGGTCGCGCTGGTCTTGCTCGCGCGGCATGTTGCGTGGCAGTACGTTTATGCCCTCACCCGAGGGTCCAAAGGTCAGAGCCACATCTCGGCGATTGGATTGGGAGGCGTCGTCGTCATCATACGAGCCGCGGTGTTTGAAGCGCGACGTTGCCGGTTCTTCTTCTCGTCGAATCTCGAGCTCGAGAGTCACGGCGGCTTGACGCACCTCGAGTACTCGTGCCGCGAGCCACACGCTCTCGTCGGCCGAATCGGCGACCCATACGCGCGCACCGACGTCCATTGAAGAGGAACGGGGGTGACACTCGGGGCTGCTTTTGACATCTGAAGGAAGGAAGGACGCGGTGGTCATCGTCCGTTACCGATCTTTATCTGTCGCGAGGTACGCAGGACCCGGTGGTCGCTTCGAAGCGATCTTGCTTGTTCCTCGCCACCGCTTCCGCGCTTTATGCCTTATCGGGGAGAAGCTATAGTGGGCCATCGAGTGAGAATCGGCTCCAATTGCGGCTCTCTCGGATGCGCCAATATCAGGCAGTTTTGCGCCAATCCGATTTTGGCAAAGACCTTGAATTAGCCAATCGGTGCATGTGTTGTCCAATCTTGAAAGGCCGCTGAAATTTCTCAACACTTTCATTTCGACAACTTACTCAAACCAAGTGATGCAAAAAAGGCGCCTAGATGTCCCAGCCGTCTGCTCGTGCGAGCACTGCAACTTGCAGTGCAAGATGCAACACAGGCACAACCGAACGAGCATCTGTCCATTGCACTGCAATTTGCAGTGGCGCCATACTTCATGTATCCAAGGCTTGGATTCCAGGCGCGCAAGGAACTGCTTGAGGTTGGCTGCGCGGCTGCTCGTGCGAGCACTGCAAGATGCAACACAGGCACAACCGAACGAGCCTCTGTCCATTGCACTGCAATTTGCAGTGGCGCCATACTTCATGTATCCAAGGCTTGGATTCCAAGCGCGCAAGGAACTGCTTGAGGTTGGCTGCGCGGCTGCTCTCGCCGCGCCTTTTTTCCGACCCCTGCGCCCTTTAGGGGCGCTATGTTAGCGAAACCCCCCAGACCAAAATTGTGTTCGTCGCCGTCTGCAGCTGAGCTCTCTGCCTGAAATTGTGAAAGTTGGGGATCCTCAACGCTTGTCCCTGTTAGCGTGGGGGTGGTACATGTATCACACTCTCAATCAAGCGACGAGCAACTGGTCCGTGCCCGTACGATTGGATCAAAGACAACGACTACCGTACGATACTTCCCACTGTGAAGGTTCACAACGAAACTTGTGCGTCGTGAGGTTCTCTTTTCCTGACCCTTCTCCGAGGTCTCCGTTTCGTCTTCTGCTGCGACAGCAACGAATGAAATATTCCGCCGTCACGAACTTAACGAGCGCGGGATGGAGCTTATGATCACGATCGGATTGAGGAATGAGGAAACCACTAACAGGTGGAAGTACTGGATGATGCGGGATAGCTGGGCTCTGATAAGTTCCAAGTTGGAACTTTCAACACTATTTTTGCTGTTGTCACCAAAGCTTTTGTAAGAATATTTGCAGCAACATGGACAAATGACCGATGAACTCTTCGTCTCTTAGTCATACAACTTCAACTCGTATCATTTTCTCGTCCTCCCTCCTTCACTGTGCCGCTACTGGCACAGTAGAGATGCCCTCCGTTCTGCAATACCTAGCTAAGAATATGGTGGCGATAGGTCACACGACACACGGTTCCTTCCCGTCTGCAGTCGGCCAGCCGGGGCGCAGAATGCATGTGGGCCTCTACGAACTGCTCCAGCGCGCCTGGTTCACATCGTTCGCGTTGTTGCCACCCTGCGCACCGCCGTTGCCGTACTGGTGGTAGCTCTGCTGGTGCGCGTTCGGCTGTTGCTGCTGCTGTTGCTGCTGCTGAGGGGCCTGTTGTTGCTGGGACGGAGACTGCTGGTAGCCCTGCGGCATCATGTGGCCCCATCCACCCACAGGCTGCGCGCCGTAGTTGCCGGCCCAGCCGTAGTGCTGGCCGTACGAACCAGTCATGGCTGCCGACGCGTTAGGCACCGGCGGCGACACGTGGTCACGGCCTCCAGGGTTCTGGTAGCCCTGCATGCTTGCATTACCGCGCTGGCCGTGCGACTGCTGTGAACCGGATGCTCCAGCACCAGAGCCTGAGCCTCCCTTGCCGTGACTCTGTGAGCCATTCTGGTGACTGTGGTGGCCGTGGTGGCCACCTTGCTGCTGCATCGGCGCCTGCTGCATGTATGCTGCGTTGATCTCACCGAAGCCCTGAGGAACAGCACCAGCGTACTCGTGCTGCTGCGCCATCATGTGCTGGTCCTGGTACGGCATGTTAGGAGGATTCGAGAAACCGGGAACGGGGCCCTCTACTCCATACGGCATGTTGCCGCGCGGAGGATACTGCGTACGCGGACTGTACTGGGCAAACTATTGAAGACAAGACATAAGATTCACACAGCGTCAGCCTTTCAATCACATCAGACCTAAGGGAAAACAAAGCAAAAAAGCTTACCTGCGGGTTCTGGTAGTATCCGTAGCCCTGGTAGTAGCCAGCGTAGTTGTACGGGTTGTATGGCAGCGCCATACCCGGCGGGGGAGGCGGGGCGTAATGGTAGCCCTGCTGCATGCCGGCCTGAGCCTGCTGGTGCATCTGAGCCGCCGTTTGCTGCTGACTCTGATTCTGTTGGTTCTGCTGAGGCTGTTGAGTCTGCTGCTGAACCTGCTTCTGCTGGGTTTGCTGTTGAGCCTGCTGCTGCTGAGCCTGTTGTTGCAGAGGGATCTGCTGCATCTGAGCTACGGGCTGCGGTCCACGAGACGGCGACTGCGTAACGACCTGAGCAGCAGCTCCGCCGCGGGCGCCAGTGCTCTTTGGGGTTCCGGATCCGGCGGGAAGCTGACCCGGGGTCGACGTGGCCGCAGGACGACCAAGATCCATCGAGTACTGCCCATACGACGCCTGGTACAGACCTGTGCCGTAGCCAATGTTCATCTTGTTCGTCTGTGTGGCTGCTGATCCCTGAGCTTGAAACGGACCTCCCTGGGCACGAGTGGGGGTACCACGCTTGACTTCGTCAGGCTTAGGCAGAGACGCCGGCGAAGGGGCCGAAGGCGCGTAGCGAGGCGACTGTCCCGTGGTAGGCGTCACACGCCCCGAGTCCACCGAAAGTCCAGGAGGAGCAGAGGTAGTGACCTTCATGGCACTTGCTTCCTGTGCACGCTGGGGCTGCTCGTTGCGATCAGGAGACAATGTCTTCTTGGGCGACGAAGCCTTCGGGGTAGCCCCCCAAGCGCTTTGAGTTGTAGTGGTCTTAGTGACAGTCTTGCCACCAGTGCTCGAGTTAGACGTCATGGTCGTTGTGGTCGTCGATCCCCAGCCAACCTCTGACGAAGGCTCCAGCGATTCCACGCCATTCAGTGAGAAGCTGCCAAACTGAAGCGACAGATTCGGCGTAGCGGCACTATCCCACTTGCCCATCTTAAGGTACGGTCGAGGACTGGTTGACGCCGATCCAGATGAGCGAGGTGCATCAATGTCCTTCGGTGAGCCCGGAACAACGGTCGGTCTAGCGTCAGCAACGGGAGACTTCGGTGTAGCGGCTTGCTTGCTAGCAGGGGGCGAAAGGACGGGGCTGCCACGTCCCCATGCGTTCGGAGTTGACACCTTCTTGGGCTCAGTGGTAGCCGCAGAGGCAGACGAAGACCACTCGGTCATAGTCGAGGTAGAAACATCCAGGGAGCCCCATCCAGCAGCAATGTTCGAGGAAGTGGTCTCCACAGTCGTATCCACGGTCTTTGTCTTCTTCTCCACCGTCTTCTTCGGCGAAGCCTTAGGACTTGCCACCTTCTCCACGACCTTCACAGTTTCAGTCTTTTCAACAACAGCAATAGCCTCCTCGACTGCTTTAGTAGTGCTGGATTTCTGTGTCTTCTTGCTCTTCTTTTCCTGCTGAGTCTTCTTCTTCGGACTCACAGACTTGAGGGCATCCGTAGCGACAGCAGCCTCAGTTTCTGTAGCAGCAGTGGTGGGGTTCTCCACAGTCTTGGGCGTTGCTGTAGGTGCAGATGTAGGTGCAGGCGCAGGTGTGGGAGCGGATTCTACAGGATTCGGCGTTGAGGTGACGCTGGTAACGTTCAGCTTCTTCGTCCAAGCGCCAGTCAGCACGGGGTAAACAACAGGCGGCACCTGAGCAGCTGGCTGCGTAGTGGTCGTTTTAGCGGTAGTCTTCGCGCCACGGTCCCTCTTTGAGTCCTTGGCCGTCTTAGACGACTGCACCCGGGTATCGTTGGACGGAGTGGAGCTGTCAGTAGAATTGCTGTCGTTCTCCGGGCTCTCTTCTTCATTTTCCCCGTTTCGAGGTACACGCGTGCTGCCTGTGGACACAACAGCGCCACCACGACCGCGGCCACCACGGCCTCCCCGGCCACCCCGCGCAGAGGCCATGCCTCGGCCTCTCATGCTGCCACGGCCACGCGTGGAGAATCGTTCCGACGATCTGGAGCCCTGTGTGTCGCTATCTTGCGGTGCGTCCGCACGATCGTCCTGGAGCTGTGTCTTGGAAAAGGAACGCTGCGACGAGTAGTTTGTTTGGTCCTGCAACACAAAAAATAAGACAACAGCCACACAGCCAAGTCAATTCAAGTTGCCCTTACAATGTGGCAAGAAGATAAAGAGACGCACCTGTTTCTTCTTCGTCACTTTCTTGGACACTGTGGCCCAAGCATCCTGATCATTGCCACGGTAGTCTTCCCACAGTTCACTGATAGCATTCTCCATGCGCTGCGTGTCGCCCTTGCACTGGGCGATCAGCTTCTGGATCTGACTGTCTGGGGTGGCGGGAGGGCAGAGCTCGCGGTACTTGGCTACCTGTGTTGGTCAAAAGAAAAGCACCGTAAGCATTACCATTATTTCCGTGCCGTTTAAGCTACACATTATCCAGGAAAGGGCGGTAACGTACTTCACGCGAGGCGTTTCCGCTCGTGGGGGCGGAAGAAATCTGTTCGTCGAGGCGCTGCATCTGCAGACCCTTCTGCAGGAAATACTCGTGCTTGCTCATGGTTCTGATGTGTCTTGTGTGGAGAAGGAGGGCGGGGAGCTCGGGCGAGCTTCTCGGCGGATGCGGGGCGGCGGGGGCGTGTGCTGTTGGTTTCCAAAAGAGTGATGGTCCCCTTCCGAGCCAAACAAAATGTATGGGTTGCCAGTGTGAAGATCTCCTTCAATAAAACCTTGCTGCTTGCCAAATTTAAGAGGTTATTTACCCTAAGGTCGGGTGGCTTTCGTTTTCCATTTTTTCATTTCTTGCACGCGCGTGCACGCGATTGGTCCATACAGTGCAAAAATCGCGAAATCTACCGTTTCACTCGGAATATCCCGTTTCGCGGCAACGGCAAGTTGAAGACAAAAGAAGTATATCTTAGTTATGCCACGGAAATGCCTTCACTACCACTTGTCTACAGTTCACCGCACTCAGTGATGGTAATGGTGAGCTTGGGTTTGCTATTGGGCCCAACAGGCACGCTCTCCATCTTACGCAGCAACAGCAGCGAAGCTGGGTCCAACACCTTTCCGAAGACCACATGCTTACCATCCAACCAGTCGCAAGGCGCACACGTGAGGAAAAACTGGCAGCCGTTCGTGCCTGGCCCGCTGTTCGCCTGTGGTATCAGAACACAATGTGGAGGTCAGACGACGGCATCTGCAGATTAAATGGCATGACGTAGATGCAAGTCGTACCATCGACAGGAGTCCGGGCTCCGTGTGCTTATGAGCGAAGCTCTCGTCCTCGAACTTGTCGCCGTAGATGCTGATACGACCTGTGCCGTCTCCCTGCAGTTCGCAACCGCCACGTAACGTCGTAAGTCTACTGCAGAAGAACTGCAACACTAGCGCAAACAGCCCACTGCATCCAACCTTCAGAAAGTCACCGCCCTGTACCATGAAGTCTTTGATGACTCGGTGAAATGGGCAGCCTTTGTAGCCAACCGGTAGCTCAGATTTCCTGCAGCAGTGGCAACACACGATCAAAAGCAGAGAAGTGAGCGCATCAGTCTCACGATATCCATAGTCTGACTTCAATACAGCGCTTTACCTGTACTCGCCCGTACAGAATTGCCTATTACCAAACAACCCAAGCAGTTCTCTCGTTAGCAACCAGAGCAGCGCAGAGCCAGCCATCCACAGCCACCCACCGGAAGTTCTCGACCGTGCGCGGGCAGTCCCTCTTGAACAGCTCCAGTCGTAGGCGGCCCACTGGTGCGCCTCCGATCGAGATGTCGAAGAACACGACTGGGTTTCCCCGCCGCAGTGCCTCGCTCAGCGCCGCGTCCATTATTGCCTTCACCTTTCGAAAGTTATAATACCCGAAGCGAAGCACTTCGGGAAAGGTGATTAAATCGATTGTGCAAGGGTATTCACTTCAACAATGAAAAGAAAAAAATCCGGGACAGTTTGCAAAAGCGGACCCGTCGGAGTGTTCTTCTCTGTTGTCGATGACGCTCGAGCTGTACCCCGCGTCAGCCCACGATGTGTTCCACGGGACGAATCTCCGTTACCCGCGCGAAGTCGACGAAGCTGTGCAGCAGATCCACGGCGCTTGCAAAGGCCTGGGCACGGATGAACAAACCTTGATCGCAGTATTAGGCTCAAAGTCCCCAGAGACGCGGAACTTGATCTCGCTACGCTACAAGGAACTACACCAGCAGCCACTGAAAAACCTCCTTAAAAGTGAGACTTCAGGTGACTTCGGTCGTCTGCTGCGTATGATCTCCACGCCGCTGGCCGAGACGGAGGCACAGATCCTGCGCGACGCTACCAAGGGCATGGGTACAACCGAAAGCCTCATCGTGCAGATTCTGTCGGGCAGAACGAACGAGGAGATGAACATCCTCAAACGCACCTACTTCGATCTTGTAGGCAAGGACTTGGCCGTCACTCTCAACTCGGAGCTCAGCGGAGATTTCCGCAAGGTCGTCATGGCCTTGCTACAATCCTCCCAAGAACCGTACAACCCGACTACGCACAACGCTGCTAAAGCCGAAGAAGAAGCTGTAGCCCTGTATAGAGCAGGTCAAGGACGACTGGGCACCAATGAGGAGGTTTTCATTGGGATCCTTGTCAAAGCCCCTCCGGAGTTCCTCAAGATGATGAATGCCGTCTATGTTGCCAAGTACAACAACAACATCGCCAAGGCAGTGGACAAGGAATTCAGTGGTGACGCCAAGAAGAGTCTTAATTACCTTGTTCGCTCCACTCTTGATCCGTATCCTGCAATTGCTGAGGTGTTTGAGAAAACCATGAAAGGGTTTGGAACGGATGAAACGGGGTTGAGTACGGCAATAGTGCGCTACCAGTCCATACTTCCATATGTGAAGGCTGCTTACAGAAGGTTATATCACGAAGAGCTACGTGACCGGATCAGTGGGGAGACAAGTGGAGACTACAAAAAACTGCTGCTCGCGGTGTTTGACGCACCCCAGGATCCTCCCAGAACGAAGGGCAGGGGCCCTAGCGGAGTCAGTGGACATAACGCAGGACCTACTGGAGCTAGTTCGTCGGCTTATTTGTCGACTCAGACGTCGTATTCCACTGGTGGGCCCGGTGCAGCTCCCACTGGGGGTGGTTCACCAGCATATTTGTCGACTCAGACGTCGTATGCTTCCTCGAATACTCATCTGCAGTCAAGTCCCTCTTTAGGGTACCCAGCACCATCAGCGCAGCAAACGTATGGTCAGTCTTCCCCGGTCCAAGCAGCCTATAATGCTGCTCCTCATCAGACGTCGACGTCTCATCCTGGTGGATATCCATCACAAACCTTGACATCTCAACCTGCTGGTTATCCGAACGGAAGTAGTTACCCTAGTCAAAGCCCAGCTCACAGCCAAGCACCAGATCATTCCGCACCTAGCTATCCGCAGCAGAAATACGCACTTCCCGGACAGCAACCTCCAAGTCAGCAGTACTCGCAACATTCGTCACCGGGGCAACAACCTCCGAGCCAACATTTACCTGGGCAGCAACAGCAGCCTCCAGGCCAACAGTACCAGCAATATCCAGCTCCTGGAGGGCAGAGTGAACAGCAGTATGGCGGACAACAACAGCAGCCTCCAGGCCAATCGTATCAGCAGTATCCAACTCCTGGTGGTCAACCTCCAAACCAGCCATATCAACAGTACCCCGTTCCTGGACAACAGCAACCTTCGAGCCAATCGTATCAGCAATACCCACCACCGCAACAGCAAACTGGTTACCCTCCAAGCTCCTATCAACAATATGGCGCGCACCATGGCCAGCATCAGCAGCCCCCGAGTCAACAATACCAGCAATATCCGTCACCCGGCCAGCACACGCCGACCCAATCGTATCAACAGTACGCTCCTGGACAGCAGCCACCGACGCAACCGTATCAGCAATACCCAACGCCACAACAACCTGGTTACCCTCCAAGTCAGCAGCAATTATACCAGTCGTACAATGCGCCGTCGGGACAACCAGGCTATCCTTCTCCATATGGAGCTGCTGCTCCTCCCCAACAACAAGGTGGGTATCCACCCCAGCACCAACCGCAGCCTGGATATCCTCCATACCGAGGTATGTAAAGCATTAGCAAGGTTGAAGGGCGTAGCTTATATTGCTCAAGTTTTATTTTGCCGATAATTACAAACAGTAGATGTTGCTGTTGATGGATGGAAGTATTCCAGTCTACATGTACATGTAGTCTCTTAATTGACAGGTGAGCGACCTGATTGACCCCAGACGAGAGAGATACTTCACATTAGGACCTCTCATTATTCCTTTCCCTCCGTTCTCACAACAGCAACAACAACGACAACGATTGCCATGAAGCCATGCCAGTTCATCTTTGCACTCTTCCTCACCGTCTCGCTGGAATCGACGTGCATCGTTGGCTACGAATGGGAGCCAGAAGCTGATGTGGAGATCCCGGGCAATGCTGCCATCCACCCGCCGAACGGGTTGCGACGCGTGCAAGCTACGACCGACCTGTCAAGCACGGGGTCTACTACAGGAACAAGCTCAGGTTCTGCTACGGATGCTTCTGCATCTGCTGCAGCCTCAGCTACTGATACTGATTCGGACACACCGACGACGATCATGGTGCTGCTGCCCGACAACCTCGCTGCGAGCTACTCTGGATCAGGTAGTGTCATGTTCTTCGATGGATCCGTAGACCACGACAAGAGCGAGAGCAAATCGGCTGCCTCTGACACTGTCGGCGATGAAATATCCAACTCAGCCTTAGGACGTAACTTCGGGATGGCGACGGCTCTGACCGCATTTACCGTCCTGCTTGCTCTTGTGATGGCGTAGACGACAAGTGACCTAGAAGCAGCTGCATACCGTGATAGTCTAGTGAAATGAATCAGTATTGTACATGTAACCCCATCAATAAAGCTGCTTTGACTATGGAATACCCGATCAGAACGTGGAGCACTCAGCATCTCCACATTATTTCGAAGAATATAGCATGATGATAAAGAGAGAATAACTACAGGCTGTTGACTTCGCCCACGATGTTGACCTTGTACCCCTTGAACAGCGGCGGTAACGCTGCTTCTAACTGTAGGACAAACCAGCACTTTAGCCTTTCATGACACCAATCATAGCAGGCCCAAGCAATCCGTACCTCCTTCTTGAGCTTCTTCGTTGTAGCCACCAGAGCATTGATCTGAGGCTGCACGTTTTTCGTGGCATCAATGAGGTCCACATTCTTGTCCTCCAACGCGTGAATTTCGCGTCCACACTTGTCCATGTGCTTCGTCAACATCTCCAGACTCGCCACATGTCTGTCCAAATATCGCTCCGAGGTTTTAATAAGTACCAATTGTTGAAGACGCTTGCTTGTCAACAAAGATACAGCCCCGTCCACTGCAGCTTGTAGCTCCTCGATCTTCGCCGTACTTTGCTGTTCCAATAGCGCTATTCGCACACCACAACACCATAGTTAGCGTCTACAGTTATCAACCGCAAGCAATACCTGCACTTGTACTGACACGAAGAGCCCTGGAACTGATTGGCGAAGGCTACTGAATCGCTCCCAGACAATTCAACAAGTCGCTGACGGAGGAACGCCCGTAGCTCCAGTAGATCGTTGAGCACTCGTGTGCGGAACTCGTTGTCGTCCAGTAGACCCACACGAGTGGCCTGTCCAGTCGTAATAGGAACCGGCTCTACGACGTCAGCAGCTTCAGGAGCGCTGACTTCGTTGACAGGCTCCACGGCATCAGAGGTTGTAATGTCCCAATCGATCTCGACCGGTGCATCGTCAACGGTAATTTCAGCAGGTTCAGTAGACGCCACCGTCTCGATTCCCCAGTCGATTTCTCCCACTTCAGCGGTGCCGCTGCCGTCCAGCGAGATATCCCAACTGATCTCTGCAGCTTCCGCCTCGAAATCCAGTGTAGCCGTCGTTTCCACCAACTCATTGCTCGCATTACGCAATTCTTCGATGGCAGCAAAGAATTTGTGCGGGGCCAAAACGAGCTCAAAGGGCTCATCGGTCGTGACCTCAGGCTCTTCCGCCGCTTCAACCTGCTTCTTGCTCTTCTTCTTCTTCTTTGACGAAGAAGAACTTATCGATTCCGTCACCACAACAGGGATCTCACAGTCGTGTAGATACGCCTGGAGAGCTTGGTGATACTCGATAGCAGTGGCAATCTCATCGCTACAAATGGCTTTCGCGACGCCGTCAAACAAGGATGGTAGCTCCATCGGCAAACGACGCAGCTCTTCACGGAAGTTTTCGCCCTGTCATAGTAATAAGTAAGTACAGAGTATTAATGTTAGAGTCGGGAAGTGTGACGCACCGCAATGCCCATGTCGGCGCACGAGGTCTCCAGCTTACGCTTGTACTCTGCGATGCTCCTCGTCAGGTCCTGACGCAAAGCGAAAATCAGCGCATAAACATCATCTAAAACTGGCAATACAGTCAAAACCCCAGCTCACCGCCATCTTGCGATTGTTGTCAGCGACTTGCTTTTCGTTCTGCTGGATCGATTTCTTCAAGAACGGGCTGAATAGAACAATACCCACCCACATGAACCCACGACCGCATAGTTTCATTCATCATCTCTACGTACATCTCAAACGCCGTGTTCTGGGCGATGATACGCGCCGTCTCGGCTGCGAAGACGTTGTTCTTCTGATACTGGCGGATCAGTGCGCTCCACCGCTTCAGCACGGGCGACGTATACTGTATCGCAGTCAAACATCAACATTGATTCGTTGTAAGTTCAAGAGTATTGCCATCACTGCTGTGGTCTCCGAACCTGGCCGAAAAAGTTCTTCGAGGCGCCCTCGTCCGATTGCTCAAGGCATTGGAAGATAAACTTGCAGTCAAAATAGTTGAGGTCCTCATGACTAGGCTTCTTGGAGCGGAATTTGGACAGCGCTTCGCTGGCCAGAGGAAGTTCCAGGTATAGCGCGGCGATTGCGTCACGGATCTGTTTGTGCTGCTCGAGCCATTTATTCGGCACGATACGGCGGTCCACCAGCGCCTCTGCGAGACACAAATACACAAGAAGCTTTTAACAAGGAGGAGGACCAGGGGATCGCTGCGGCCGGGACCTACCCAGGAGCTGCTTGTATTGAATATCGATCGGCAGCTTGCGCTTGTCCGCCATTTTGTTTCTTTGAGAAATGAAAAATACGGCAAAAGATTTGACCAATCATATGACGAGAAATCCGGCTTGACAATATCTTCGACAATATCTTTGTCAGCAACAAGATACTTTGGATTTTGAAGCGAGCGAAGCACGTGCTACTGTACATATGACTCAGGTGCTCTACCCAAATCCCAGCTAGAGATCCTCTATGGCAGACTCCTTGCACTTGTAGCACCGGATATTATCTCTGCTGGGTGGCTACTTTGCTCGACGCGGCAGTCGCTCATTCTTCAATTCGCCGCCTCCTGCGCAGCCACTTCCAACCGCTCCTCTCTCTCCAATCCAATCATAAGATGCTGGGACTCTACCCGTCGTCCGCGTTCGACGCCTACAAGAAGGACAAGACCCGCTTCTCCGCTTCCATCGATGCTGTCGTCGAGCAGATCCACACTGCCTGTGATGGCGTCGGAACGGACGACAAGGCCCTCGTGCAACTCATCGGCCCGCTGTCGCCGAATGACCGTGCGTTGGTATCGCTTCGCTACAAGGAGCTTCACGGCCAGACGCTGCGCGAGCTCGTCAAGAGCGAGACGTCGGGTAACTTCGGTTACCTGCTGCAGCTCATCAGCTTCCCGTTGCCTCAGGCCGAAGCCTACATTCTCTTCCACGCCATGAAGGGAGTTGGCACGTCGGACCACCTCCTTTACTCAGTCCTTATGGGTCGCAGCAATGAGGAGATTGGATTACTTAAAAAGGCATACTTCGAGATGTACGACCAAGATCTCTCCGTCGCTATCAGCGAGGAGATCAGTGGCGATTTCCTTGCTGTCATCATGAAGGCTCTTCAGGTGAGCTACCCAACCTCAAGCAACACAGCATGTCACTAACTATTTACTTTTTCTTGATATTAGGAGCCTATGGTTGAGTACAAGCCTTCGTTCCACACCAAGGAGAAGGCGGCCGAGGATGCCGAGCTTATCTACAAGGCCGGCGAGGGCAAGTGGGGCACTGACGAGAATGGATTCATCAAGGTGCTGCTATCGAGCCCACCTGAGCACGTGCGCAACATGAACGCGGCGTACGAGGCTAAGCACGAGCACGACTTGGTCTACGCCATCGAGAACGAGTTCAGCGGGAGTGACAGCGCTGCTCTCGTCTACTTCGGTAAGTGGTTCATCTTTTTTTTTATTAATGTTGAGTTAAGGCTAACAGTTGCCCTTTCTCTCCCTGTTGCAGCCCGCATCAGCCTAAATGCGTATCCGTTCCTTGCCGAACACATCGAAGGGACCATGGCCGGCATTGGCACAGACTCGACGGCTCTCAGCGCTGCCATTGTGCGCTATCACTCGTATCTGAGCAACATTATGCCTGTCTATGAGAAGAAGTACGGCAAGACGCTTCAAGACCGCATTAAGGAAGAAGCTAGTGGCGAGTACTTGGAGCTGCTGTTGCAGCTGCTCGAAACTCCGCGTCCCATCGGCAGCTTCGCGTAAATGTCTACTCTGTAGTCTTAGTAGTGGCGTTCACGAAATTCATTGCCAAGCATCGTGGTTGTCGAATTCACCCACAAAATCCAATTCAAATTTTCTGATATGAGCTTTTACGGTTCAACTCTGCCCGAATCTCTGATTTATAGTACTTGTCGGATCAGTTTCTTTAATATCGTAAGCTGTTCTTTACAAAGTTGACTGTGTAAACGAGTATAGGATAGGTTTTCCAAAGTCTCTATTGCGGTGCTGTAATCGTTGCTGCGTTGACCCTCGTGCTCTGTCCGCAGTAGCAATGCAGCGCATTTTCCCACAGCATGCTCACGATGTGTACCGCGGCGTACCGTTGGTATATCCGCGCGAGATTGACGACATCTGCGAGCGTATCCGCGACGCGACGGATGGTCTGGGCGTGGACGAGAATGTGCTCGTGGACGCGCTGAGCTCACTGTCAGCGAGCGACCGATCTCTGCTCATTTACCGATACAAAGACCTCTACCGCGAGGAGCTCAAGGACACGCTGGGTCGCGATACCGTCGGCGACTTCCGCTTGCTACTGTTGTTGCTCACGATGCCACTGCCAGAGGTGGAGGCCTTCATTCTGAACGTGGCCACTTCTGGCAGTGGCACGAAGGAGCGACTGCTTTACCCGGTATGGCGGCGTGACTTGTGAAGTAGGCTTGTGCCGTGCTACGTACTTATTGAACATGTTGTTGCGCTAAGGCAGATCTTGCTGGGACGCACGAACGAAGAGCTCTCAATGCTCAAGTCGACGTACTTTTATATCTTCAATAAGGACCTGACCTGGCTCATGCGCTCAGAACTGAGTGGCGACTACCGCGAGATCATTCTGCTGGCGCTTGAGGTGCGTTTGCTGCTACGTGTAGTTTTCTAGCAATGTATTTATGCATTTTGTTACGACGGGGACAGCGCCTTCAAGTCACTTATGACCCGGAGATCCACACGTACGAGAAGGCGAAAGCGGACGCTGTCAAGCTGTACGACGCCGGTGAAGGCCGCTGGGGAACGGACGAGACCACATTTGTGCGCATCCTGTTCTCAAGTCCGCGGGAGCATCTTGTCCTGGTGAACGATATCTACAAGAAGAAGTATGTGAGCGACCTGGAGATGGCCGTACGCAATGAGTTCAGCGGCTATGCGACTGAAGCTCTCGTGTTCTATGGTGCGTTGAAAGTAGTCTCCACCACACTTCTTGCCTCTCTGGTACTGCTCTGCTCCGTTTTGCTAACTAGTCCTGCTCGACTTTTGTTGTTGTTGCTGTTGCTGTATGTAGTCCGCTTGGCACTGGAGCCAGACATGGCCATCGCCATCCACTTCGAGCGCATGATGAAGGGTCTGGGCACGGACGAGAAGGGGCTGAGCGCCGCCGTGATCCGATACCACTGGATGCAGCCTCGCGTCGAACAGCTCTACGAAAAGGTATACGGTCGGTCGCTCGAGGAGCGGATCCGTACCGAGACAGACGCCAACTACGGGGACTTGCTGGTCACGTTGCTACATATCCCGATTGACGACGACAGCAATCTCAACAGCGATAGCGACAGCAACAGCAGTAGCGGGAGGGGGCCTGAGAGTGCGACCTAGGTCGAAATACGACCGCTGTCCGGCTGCATATTAACATGTAAATGATTTGTGCAAATATCTCCCGTACGATACAATTACATTAGCTAACCTCACCAAACTTGCCCCCAAGCGCGTTGTTGGCACCGGTGGTTTCCTGCCAAAAGCATTTTCTGGTGAGGTGACAGAAGAATGTTCGTGCTCTTCTGCGAAACGCTGCGAAATTCGCTGACACTTCAGGTGCGACGAAGATTGCTTCGGTTTCGCCTCCGCGGCTTTACCGGTATTGAAGACGCATATAATACTATTATTGGCATTCTGGTACACGGTACCGCTCACTAATCTCCGGAGTGATTGCGGTGCGCTGGTCGACATTGAATTTCGACAAATCAGCGCGCGGTCCGACATGCTTAAGGATTGCGCCAGCGCGAGAGTGGAACTTGCGTGACTGACCAATGAAACTTCAATTTAGGTAGCTGTCTTTTTAATATTTTATTATTAAAATTAAAAATGCACACCACAAGTGTGAAATGTACACCAGACCAGGAATTAACGCACGTAGTTTAGCCGAAATTGCTCGAGTCAGCATGACCTCGCTACCATCGTAAACATGGTCAACTCACCATCGAGGAGTCGAGCGCCGGGGTGCAATTGCCGACAGCGACATGTTGTTATGCTCGAGTTTTGGCGCCATCAACTTGATGATCAAGCGCTACAAAGTTAATTCTTATTTTAAAACTGCACTTTTCACGAAATTTTCAAAATGGTGCTCGTGCATTTTTGCTACTGCATTACCTGTCCGCATTTATCTAGACGGTAAAGCACATTCCTCCTGTCCACAGCAACAGCGATTCGCAACCAGGCCTGCATAATACAGCGCATACAGATGCAGATGTGTTCAGCGTCTCACGCCAGAATGATGGCTTGCCACCGACACTTGTCCACCAGACCAGTCAAGCCTTGACTCAAGACGCGCTAACTGTACCGGTATGTCGCAAAAGGTGCGCATTCCTGCGGAAAGCCGCACCAGCGCCAGCACAGGCTGAAAAGTGACGATAGCTTTGAGAAACGGCATTATTTTGCTGGCAGTGAAAAATATCTGACCGTTCAGGCTGAAGCGGTTTTACCTTCATTCGCGCCACCCATTTTATCCATTATCGTTATATTTCGAATGGCGCTTTTTCGACCAATCCGCATGCGCCAGCCAGACTACGACGTCGATTTCTGGACCCTAGCCCCACATGCTCGCGTAATCGCCCTCTGCCAGATTAAAAAACTGTATGGTCGGACGAAATCGGTCGACCATAAAAGCTTACTCCATTGCCCACAAGGCAATTTTCTCGATAGAGCGCAGGTTGTTGTCTCTGATTGATTTGCCTCGACGTTGGACAGAAAGAAAGCGCCGAAAACATGGGCCTGGGTCTCTTGGACGTGGATGTAATCCAATCAAAGGAGTGTCGCTCCTCCTTCCTCACTACCTCAACGTGCTGTTCGGCCGTGAGCAGCGGCGGCGTGGAATCGACAATGCTGGACAATGAGATGCTCAGCAACTCGCGCCTCAGCAGCATCTACGGCGGCGGCACAGCTACAGGCCAACGCCTAACAATCCTCGAGGAGGACCTCGAGACCGAGGACTCGTCGCTTTCGCAGAAACAGATCCAGAAAAAGCTTTTTGAACTGCACGAGCTGCGTGTGCTCAAGCAGGTGCCTCTACCCGACTGGATGAAGATCTTTGTGCCGCGTATTGTGCGTTTGCAAACCGGAACAGTACCCTACATGGAGTATGCACGATCGGAGAAGGGCGAAGTGCGCCAGCGTCAGATGATCAGCGTATGGACGCGTGTAAATCGCCTGCCCAAGAACAAGCTTTCTATCGACTTTCGCATTCCCGAGGAAAGCGACCGCTCAACTCACGCACCCAGTTCGAGCACATCAAAGACCACAGACGACAAAGTGGCGCACGACAAGTGGATTCTCAAATTTGATACAAAGAATGAACGTGACCTGTGGGCCAAGCTCGTGCAAGATGCCGTCGATCTGCTCGGTTGGATCGCCAAGTTTACACTGGGCAGCGTGATTATGGAGACGGAGAACTCGTCAATTGTCGAGTGCTCCACTTGGATGGACCGTGGCCGTCCGTCCTACGTGATGAAGTCAATAAAAGCCTCATCCACAAAGCAGAGCCACTCGGCTCGCAACGAAATTGAGATTCAGCGCATGCTGACCAACTACTCGAGTCATCCGAACATCGTGGCACTCCACGATTCCTTCCATCAGAAGGACAAGACGTACTTAGTTATGGAGAACTGCATTGGCGGTGACCTCTTTGACTTTATCAGCCAGAATGGCGGTATGGACGAACATGAAGCCAAGACGCTGTTCCGCCACATCACGAGTGCCATCAGCCACTGCCATGAGCATGGCGTTGTGCATCTAGATATCAAGCCTGAGAACATCTTCTTCAAGGTGTCGTCTATGCAGCTGGAGACTGTCAAACTGGGCGACTTTGGCTCAGCAATGCAACTTGATAAGAGCACCGTTAAGAAGGCTGTTAGCTGTACAGTGGGCTACGCAGCACCAGAGGTGTTACAGAACGGCAAGATCTCGACTGCTGCTGACGTGTTTAGTGCAGGGGCTGTACTATACACGATTCTGTGTGGGTACTCCCCATTCAGTGCTCCGTCCGAGGACGAAATGATGGACCGAACTCTCTCGGGTGAGATTTTCTTTGACGAGCTCGAGTGGTGGCGGATCAGTAAGGAGGCCAAGGAACTCGTGAAGCAAATGTTGCACTCGGACGCGAAGCAGCGCCCAAGCATGGAAGAGGTGCTGGAGCATTCCTGGTTCTCTAAGTGGTAGGTAGTACAAGTACTTAGTCGTTTGGTAGGAAGGTAACATATTTAAAGCGCAAAGCAAAGGCGCGTCGTAATGAATCACTTTGCAGACATTCGATGAATTGATTTGGGTCTGCTTCCGTAAGACACAGCAACTTCAGATCATTATTTTCGATCAGAAGTGCTAATCTTACATAGGGGGCCGCAGCGGCCGCCTTGACGCCACTCCGATTCGATTCAGATTCCGGTGTCTGCATGTAATTAACAGAAATGCACAACACTAAGCAGCTGAGGATCGATCCGATATAAACTTCATGCCTCTTAATACAATATTGGGAAAGCGTTTTCAGCGACCATAACCATTCAGTACATGTTTTATTATTAAGAATCAATCGGTCGGCTGCGACAGCAAGCCGGTGTTGAAAGACACTTCGCAAGTTGCGGCGCAACCTTGCACCACAATATCCCTGTCCTGGATTGGTGCCGCATAGAGTACAATGCGAGGCCACGAACAAAATTTGCTAAGTTGTAGTGTCGTCCATTTCATCCCTCGAAGCTGAAGGGCCAGTTAAAAGAACGGTCGGTATGCTTCAGTGGAGTCTCCACATCCGTGTGCCATGTACGAGCATGAGAAAATAAACGAGCACCTTATCGTTATTTCTGCCAAAGTGTCTGTCTCCAAGCTGGAACGATGAGTGTTTTTTTTCAAGTTCGTCAGAAGTTGAACGGCAACTTCCAAGCAAGTTACAGGCATTTGATGGTGCCAAACGAAGTCCGATTGCGCTCACATGGTACAGTACGCTCTTGGCGTCAGCTTCGGTTTTATATGTACAGTATCTAGTACTACAAAAAAATATATATTCTTTTTGAATTTTGCTGCATTGCGCTTTGGCGTGCATTTTCAATTTTGAAACGTGCAATTTAAAGTTTGACGAAATCAGCTTTTGCTTTTACTGTACGTTTCTTTTTTATTTTAAGGAAAAACTTTTTGTCAGACAAATACTTCAATAAAAAAGTACTTTTTTTTGTAATCCAAACCATACGTAAGTGCTTTCCGTATACCAAAGATTCTTCAATTTTTATAGTCTTGCGACACCCGGCCTAATTACCCGTCTTATCAGCACAGCTACTGTACGTCGAGAGCACAATGAGCCAGTGGTGGCAACTTGCCACCCTCGACTAAGAAGATCCTATCGAAGAGTTTCGCTTTAACGTGCTGTACCGCAGAGCTAAAATACTATAAGATCCAGCCACTGCAGACTGTGTACAGGTAATCACATTATAGTCTATAACCGACTTGAATGCACTGGTAACGACTGGTGTGTACAGTGTGTACACACGCAGTGGTGCCCCACAAGATGCAATACGGGCTACTGGAGTGTAGTTCAGGACCATGCGGCGACAAAGGCGGGGTGGCGCGGCATGCTACGCACCTGTCTGACGACCAAACGTGTCTAAATCTATGACTGATGCGTGCATACGAGTGTGGTCTCCTCCCCGAAGTCAAGAAGAAGAAGAAGAAGAAGAAAATAAGCTCACAGACGCACAAAGGACGTTTTCCACGAGATGGCTTCACACCACCTGCGCTCTATGCGCATCCGTTATGCGACGTCGCGCAGATTTGATACCCGCTGGAAAGACCTACCCTACAGGTCGTCCAGAGCTTCGTTACTCATTACAGAAGGACATGTCTTCATGACCAAATAGACGAACTACGTGAGTGGGTGCATGCGAGGGTCTTCGCGGATGATAAGTTCAGCGACCGGGCCTTCACCTTTGTCTGGAACAACGGTCGCGACGGAAAGCCGATAGTTGGGGACGGATCGGGCGAGAGCCCTTTCGTTTTTGGCATATCAGCAAAGACTATGATCATGTGAATGAGCGCACCTGCTCACACATTCATTCTATATATCGAATGCACCTACAAAACGAGCCACTGTGGGTATTCCGTTGCCGTTGTAGGAATTTCCGACCACTCACCGGGGCTTCATTTGGTAGCAATCTTGTGGTATCACAAGAAGCACAATCATTGAGGCGGTGCTGTAGTCACCCTGACGCCAGTTCCCCCGTCTGTGTGCGCATGATCTCTTCGCTACGCCAGGGCCGACGAAAACCAAGTACAATACATGGTTGGTATACTGTGACCCTTGTTTTTTAACAGATTTTATCAAAAAGGAGGCTTTACTGCACGTGGTTGGGACCAATAAAAAGCGCGCATTAAACCGAAGTGGACGCCACTCGATTCAAATCAATCGGCCATTTCCTCCCCCCCCCACCACAGAAAAAAACGCCTCCCTTGCTTGAGGAGACCGGCGGTAAGTATACTACCGGTGCGTATGTTACAGCCTAGGACGCGTTGTTTTGGCGTGTTCTTCTAATGTAATGATGTCCACCATCATACAAGTGTACTAACATATTGTGTGTGCATGTATAGGTACTACCCGCATGCCTAGAGAAACCAAGCTCACCCAACAAGAGCAGCATCGTTTACTAGCATTTCGTGAGGCAGGACAAAGCGGGCGAGCAATAGCGCAGCGCGTACGTCGCTCTCGACCAGTTGTACACGCACTCCTACCGATTCAAAGGGCTACACAAAATCTAAAATACCCGAACAACCCAAGAAGTTGACACCGACAGCTCAGCGCCGACTGCTCCGTGAAGCTTCGAAAGGCAAGCTGAGTTCTGCCGAGCTCAAAAATGACCTTAGAGCTACCGGTAAGTACACGGCGGATCCGTGAAATCCTACAAGCGGAGCCTAACATAAAAATGAAAAGCGTAAAGCTTCCCTTGTGCTAACAACGAAGCACAAGGAGGCTCGTCTCAAGTGGGCTCGTGACAAGGTGACGTGGAGTGAAGAGAAATGGGGAGCGTGCTTTTTTCAGATGAAAAGAAGTTCAATTTCGATGGACAAAATTGTATGCAGTACTACTGGCACGATTTGCGCCGCGAGCCTGAAGTCTACTCTACTCGCCAAAGTGGTGGTGGGAGCGTCATGGTCTGGGCTGCATTTGTGTTAGTGGTAAGTCTGAACTGGTGATTTTGGAGGGCGATCAAAACAGCGAGCGATACTTTTACACGCTCTCAGAACATTTTCTGCCTTTCATTGACCGAGTGTACGGTCGGGACTGCGTTTTTCAGCAGGACAATGCGTCCATTCACTCTTCGGCTGCCACGAAGGCGTTTTTGAAGGAGGAAAAAGTCGATGTGATGGACTGGCCAGCCAAGTCACCGGACCTAAATCCCATCAAAAACACGTGTGTGTGTGGGGGGGGGGGGTACTCGCACGTGCTGTCTACGCTCCAGGACGGCATTTTCAGACGAGAGAAGACCTCATTGGAACAATTCAGGCATCTTGGGCGACGATCGGAAACGACCTTATTAAAAAGCTGATTCAGTCGATGCCGAGGCGCTGCGTCGCTACGCTAGAGCGTCACGGTGCTAAGACGAAGTACTGAACGCAATACTAGCGTCTAACTAGCTGTAGATCTCGCTTTAGTCGAATTGACAGTATAGTAACCGCCAACGAAGCCAACAACAGCTTCCCCTTTTTCACGATTGCAGCAAGACTACATGGCAGATTAATCTGAATCGCGTGGCGTCCGCTTCGTTTTACTGCGCACTTTGCATGGGTTCCAACTACGTGCAATATAGCCTCCTATTGAATAAAATCCATAAAAAACAAGGGTGGCAGTATACTAACCGCCAGCACTGTACAACGCGCTCCAATCAGTATTGGGACAATGCTTTCAGTTTTTGATGTATTTTTTTCATTTCATGAAAAACTTTCAAAAAGCAATAAGAGCTTCTGTGTCGGCTTCTTTGATTCGTACTACGCACGACCTGCCCTTCTCTAGAAGCGAATTGGATTACAAAGGAATCCGGGATGCTGTTTTGCTCGTGTGGATAAATAACCCTTTTGGTGGGTTTTGCTCACTATATGCAAGACCAATAGCGTTTTGGTCACTGTAGCACGTGACAGAGATACCTATCTCCGTCTGGGTTTGCCTAAACCAATAACCCAGCGGAGAATGCTAACGCGTTATTCAAACGGGACATCACACTGAGATGCCGTTTGAAACTGGGCTCGCTAGTCCGAAAATTGGCTGTGTGCTGCCATGATATGCCAGCCTCCGAGCGGAAAGACAGTCGCTGTGCATATAACCCTCACACGAAGGATCGCCGACATGATAAAGGCACGGCTAATAGGCGCTTGCAACGGGATTTATCCACGGCAGGCATATGCCGGAGGCTCTACATTAGTGTACGCTGTGTCGCAAATGGACTAGCGAGTATTTGTGACGCCGCAAGAGCGAACGGGGGTTATTTGACCGCATCGACTCAAATCGGGTAAACTATGCACGAAATGAGATTAAAGATCAACCCTGGGGAAGCTGTCCAGTGGGTATCGACAGCCGCTGCTGCCCTTACGCATAAGGCTACGCATTTGGAGCTCGCGCTCACCTGGTTTTCGCTCTCCGCGTCACCGACTCCGTTGATAACTGTGACAGGGTGGTGGGGAGAAGTCTCATATACGAAACAAGCGCAAGCGCAGTTTGAAAGAGGCCGGAGAGGGGAGGGGACAGCTGAAGAGGAATGCCAGCTTTGGTAGACCCCGCTCTCACTTTCTAGACGTCCAGCACATCACTCGACGTAGGAGACTAGAAATGAAAGGACACATACACTCCCCATCATGTTCAGCAGAAGGTACATATGAAAAAAAAACCGGTTCGCAAAGAGTAAAAAGCCCTTAGTCTGCATGATTTTCTTTCTCAATAATTCCCTACATAGTATACAGACCTTTCGAATTTTGCTCGTTCTCTTCGATTTCGTATGATATAGGCAGTGTCAACGGAAGGGAGATGAATACGTATGCAGTGTGCTTGGCGCGTATTCAACGTTGTACATCGTGTCGTATACAAATGAATGAAGTAGTTGATCTAGTGCTAAACTAAGCCCGACTCCATCACCGACCCTGGTGTAAGATTTTAAAAGTGTACACTCTTTTAAACTGAGTCCAGTTTGAGG